TAAGTCGCTCCAGACATGAAAAATAACCCAAAATTGGATTATCTGACTCAGTCATTTCTTCCAGGTATCATTTTTTTTCTCCAACTCTCTACCAGATCCAATTCATGACATAGTTCCTATAACTGTAATCCTTAACAGATTTCTGAAAAGTTCACCAAGTCAGATGAAGGTCTCCATTCACATCCACCTACACTTTCCAAACCCCAACTTTCTGTCACTCCCAACTTGCAGCCAACATAACTATTGCCTCGCTTCTGGAGAGTCATGGCCTTTGGCAGCAGAGGTCTGGAATCCAGAAATTTTCCACTTTATTCATCCTCCTCCCCCAAAATGAAGGTAAATAATTTCTCTTGTATGCTTTTCCTTGCAAGAGAATGCAAACGTTCTGCACAGAATTCTCCCGGTATTTGCACTTTGGAGCTCTTTTGGGGAATTAACCTGCACAGAATTACACATGTTTTATTCTGCAGGAAACATTTTTTTGTGTAAAACACACCAGTTCCTGCACATGTGTATTCTACTCAGAAAACATAGGGGAATTTTTTTGTACAGGGAAAAAATACAAGTACAGAAAATTACCCCCAAAGACTTTACCAATAGAAAATAATATTCATCCTTGTTCTGTTCAAGAGTTTCTTAAGTCTTAGGAAGTCCATTATTTGGCAGGGATATTTCCCCTTCCCTACTGCAAAAAGGAGGGTGCATGTTTATGTGTTTTCTTTCCCTCTCAACAGTCTTATTATTGGGTTGTTGTAGGTTTTTCAGGCTATATGGCCATGTTCTAAAAGCATTCTCTCCTGACGTTATGCCTGCATCTATGGCAAGCATCCTCAGAGGTTGTGATTCCAGCCATGAAAGCCTTCAAAAATACAATCCTATTATTATCATGATGTGGAGCAAAGGGAAGACTCTTGGGGTATCAACTGCTGTTATTCCCACTGTACATGAGTGGCTGCGGAGTTTAGCTGGGCTGTATATTTCACATAGCAAAGTTGGAACTTTGTGTGGCAAGCAGCGTTAAAGTGAGGTTAAGATGATGAAAGTTTGGAGAGGTTGCAGCAGTTTGCTTTTGCCTGAGCCTACTGGAAAAAGCGAGATTATGCCTCTTTCTCTCCACTGCTTCATGCTGACTTAATAGACTTCCCCTGGTGATACAATGGGTTAAACCCTTGTGCCAGCAGGTCTGCTAACCGACAGGTCAGTGGTTCGAATCTGGAGAGAGCGGGTTGAGCTCCCTCTGTTAGCTCCAGCTCCCAATGCGGGGACATGAGAGAAGCCTCCCACAAGCATGGTAAAACATCAAAACATCTTGGCGTCCTCTGGGCTGTGTCCTTGCTGACAGCCAATTCTCTCACACCAGAAGCGACTTGCAGTTTCTCATGTTGCTCCTGACACACACACACCTAAAATAGACTGCAAATTATTCCCCCTCCCCTTGAACTCAATCTGCAAAAATATAGGAAAACTTAGGTGAAAGGAGGAATGCAGCCCAAGGAGAGAGAAACTGGGAAACTTTAAAAGCAGCTGAAAAAGTGGGTGAATAATAGGGACTGTCGTTGCCAAATGGTGTTGGTTGGAGGATATGTAATTGACTCCATGCTCAAGCAGTTTCTAAGATATGAATCCGGGGAGTGGGGTGAGCTCCCATCTGTCAGCTCCAGCTTCTCATGTGGGGACATGAGCGAAGTCACCCACAGGATGGTAAAACATCCAGATGTCCCCTGGGCACTACCTTGCAGATGGCCAATTCTCTCACACCAGAAGCGACTTGCAGTTTCTCAAGTTGCTCCTGACATGAAAAAAAACCCCTGTGGGTTGGGAGATGTTCTGGCAATGAAAGAGATGTTCACAGGCATATTGCCCTTCCATCCAACCCCATGTGTGAAAATTGAGTCATTCCAAACCAAGCATCCATGAAGAAAATAATTGACACAGGATGTTTACAGCCAAGACATTAAATCTCTCAATTGTCATTTTCTCCTTTCAGTTCTATCTTGATTGCACAACCAACTATGCATGTTGTGGGTTATTTCTGGATATATATATATATATATATATATATATATATAATGCTGTAGTTTTTCTTTTTAAAATTAGTGGCATAGCTATATGGTGGGAGGGGGAGGGTGGGGGGCCAACACCAAAATGAGGTCATTGCTTCCCCATGTAAGAAATCCGTCCCATCAAAATAATGTTCCTTCAATCCTAGATGTCTAGCATTGCGGAGAGTGAGATGCAGGAAAATGGCTCACACTTAGAGCTCTTCTCTTTACTATGTTTGCATTCCCTTGGTCACTTTCCTAGTCCCTTTACTTTGGAGCCTGAAGTGCTTTAGCACAGCAGATTACCCGCTAGCTGCAGTAAATCTTGCTAACCAAAAGGTTGACAGTTCGAAGCCCAGGTCAGGATGAGCTCCTGCCCTTTAGCCCAGCTTCTGCCTACCTAGCAGTTTTGAAAACAGCAATGTGAGTAGATAAGCAGGTAGGTATTTAAGGCACTCATAAGGAAATACCAGAAAAATGCCAGTGATTTGATCAAGGAGGAAGTTTATGAACAAAGCTCTTTGGTAGGGAAAGTGGAACGACAGCACACACACATATACAGTGGCCAGAACCAAGCACAAACTCCAAGATGCAGAAGATAGGAAATCCTATACCTTTATCTATGTAGAGTTGTCTGTCTTGTCAGTGTATAATGGCACTGAATGTTTGCCGTATATGTTTTCTGTGATCCACTCTGAGTTCCCCCCTTTGGGGTGAGGACGGATGGAATATAAATACTGAAAATAAATAAATAAATATTTCTAAATGCTCAACTGAATTACTATTACTGTTGTTATTAATTATTGTTATTGCTATGATTGGTACTAATTAGTTGTCCATTCTCGGCATCTAATAGAGGAACATATTAAAAGGCAACACAGTTAAAATTGTATTTTGAATTAATACAATTCCGAGAAATTTTTCTGTTACAGCTGCCACAAGTTAATTGGGTGTGTTAGCATATAACAAGGCACTAAGTTTGCAAGCTTTGAGCTTTGCATTTTGGCTTAGCTTGATGACTCGTTTTGAGCTGAAGAAACCAAGTTGCTGGGAGGGGTTACGCAGCATCCTGAAGCTGAAGCAGTTTGGAATGCCAAGGAAACTGCTTGTTTATGACAAGACTAGCTGTACCTGCCATAAGTTGCTGTGGCCAACCTTCCCTCTCTCTCTCTCTCTCTCTTTCTTTCTTTCCCTCATTCCTTTTCTTTTTTTCTTTCCTTCTTTGTCAGTGTTGATGTGGTGATTGTCTGGCTTGCCCACATGCAACATATAATTGTCCTTTTTAGGGGTCCCTTTCAAATCTATGATCCTATATCTGTGTGTGTGTGTGAATCGTATCTATTTATCTATATCTATGGCTGGATGGCTCTTTGTCAGGAGGGCTTTGAATACGTTTTCTTGCCCTGGTGAAGGAAGTTGGACTGGATGGCCCTAAGTAAGGGGGTTCTGTGTTTGCCCCAATTCTGTCTTTGGTGGGGTTCAGCATGCGCTTTGATTGTAGGTGAACTATAAATCCCAGTAACTACAACTCCCAAATGTCAAGGTCTATTTTCCTCAAACTCCATCTGTGTTCATATTTGGGCATATGGAATATTAGTGCCAAGTTTGGTCCAGATCCATCATTGTTTGAATCCACAGTGCTCTCTGGATGTAGGTGAGCTACAACTTCCAAACTCAAGGTCAATGCCCACCAAACCCTTCTACTGTTCTCTGTTGGTCAGGGGAGCCCTGTGTGCCATGTTTGGTTCAATTCCATAATTGGTGGTGTTCAGAATGCTCTTTGACTGTAAGTAAACTATAACTTTCAGCGACTACAACTCCCAAATGACAAAATCATTTTTTTTGAGTGATAGTCACTCCTTGGGTTAGTAGGTGTCTTGTGGCCAACTTTGGTGTCAATTGCCCCAGTGGTTTTTGAGTTCTGTTAATCCCACAAACGAACATTACATTTTTATTTATATCGATAAGGACATTTTACTGATAACTAAGTAGAGAGACTGTATTATTTTGCTATATGCTTGCATATTGTCGTGTAAAGAAGAAGACTCACCAGAGATATTGTTGTATATTGGTGAGAACAATTCTTCTGTTTCGCTTTGTGTTTTTGATTTACAGTGAATAGAACTATATTTTTGTTTCTACTTAAAGCAACAGACTCATGTGTATTTTTGAGTTTTTATCTTGAGAACAAAAGGGGCTGAGACATTCTGCGGGCTGCTAACGCTACTCTGACAAAGCAGAGTTATAGGTTTTACTGCCTGCTCAGTACTGCAGACACTGGAGGCTGTGAAGAGCCTCAAAGACAAAAATATCCAGCTAAGCAGGCTTGGGTTCAGCTTGCTGAGTCATAGGTTACGTGGCATAATCTAACGCCAACCAGGCTAGGTGAGCCCCATAGGTTTAAAGCTGGAGTGTGGGGACAGGAAAGGTTAGATGAGCGCTTTATGATGATAGGGAGGTATGTATGGGGAACATGGTGTGTGCTGTCACATTTAATAATGATGAAGCATCTCCCTTAGGAATGGCATGCCTGCTTACTCATACACACACACACAATGCTGTTAGAGAGTGGGGGGATGCTAGTAAGCTGAGTCTCTGGATCTACTGCCGCTTTGGGGATAGTGCCACGACAGAAGATGAATCACCTGTCTGACAGGCCCGAACAGAGATAAACAGCCATGGAGCTGGGGGAAAGTGGCACGGAGAGGTGTGCGAAATGCCAGGGAGCCTTTTGAGTGCATCAGCAAGAATTCCTCCTCTGATATTTGTTGCTTTCTAGGGATTGAGAGGTTGGTTGCGAAGCCAGCCACATCCAAATGTCTCCCTGGATTCAGAGGATTTTAGAATCCCAAAGTCTCAGTTAGAATCTGCTCATTTCAATTACCTCCAATCCTTTTGGAGCACAATGCTTTCACCATATCCTCACCATGCTCTCCTTTCATCCCTTCTTCCTTGCAGACTAGTCGGCGGCTTGGACGGACTGCAGATCCAGAATGAGCGGACCCGCTCCATACTGCTTTTCCCTAACGTCACACATCGGCATTACGGGAACTACACCTGCCTGGCTTCGAACAACTTGGGCTCCTTCAATGTTAGCTTACGGCTTATCAGTGAGTCTCTCTTTCTCTTCCTTCTCTGCTCCCCAGTTTTGGTAACTATTCAGTTGTGTGGCTTAGCCTTGGCCAGGTTTTTTGAGGGGGACCATCGGTTTTTTAAGACTGGAACCCCTTCTGAAAAATATGGCAACAAGTGCACTTGATGACTCATTTGTGTCCCTCAAAGCATAACACTTCCAAGAGGAAGATACCGTTCTTACATATCTTGCTGGTAAGAAGTCAATAAAGCATTGTTGCTCCGGTCACCATTTCACAACCTGTGTTCCCCAACCTTATAGTGGATACTAAAGTACAGACCAGAGCGTCTCTTGATATTATGACATCATGAAATGCATTGTATTGCAGCAATAAGTACCATAGGTAGAGAATAAAGTGATTTAGGAGATAAGTCTTTAGGAACAACAGAGAATCAAGAGTATTGCAGTATAATGGTATAGTACAATATAGTAATATATAATACTAATATTGTGCTATGCTAATAATTATAATATATTGTATATACATATAACATTGATCATAATGTTGTAATACAATATAATACTAATAATAATACAATATAATAAGATAATAAGTATATATTTTATATTACATGTAATATTACTAATAGCATTGCAGTATAGTGTATAGGACAATATAGTAATATATAATACTAATATTGTGTTGTGCTAATAATATAATATATTGTATGCACAAATAACTTGTAAGGTGCTCTGAGTCCCCTTCGGGGTGAGAAAGGCAGGATATAAATGTTGTAAATAAATAAATAGTACAGGTTATGGGCAGAACCAAAGCAGCATAGGGTCTGGTGTGGCTGGGATCATGCAGATGGGATTGAGTGCCTTTAGGGTATTTAAGCTTAATTCCTTCCAACATATTCCATTATTCCACCAAATGGAGCCCTGGAAGTTAAAATGGTATAAAGCTCTGACAGTTTCCCAGTTCTGTGTAGATAGTTAGAATTCCAGTTCCAAAGAAAATGAGAGCTGCAACAAACCAGACGTTTGTGTTTTCCCCCTCACAGGACCAGGTTCCCTGGGAAACATGGCAGCAGCGAGCATGGCATCTCCCCTCTTCTTGGGCTTGCTGTCATCTGCCTTTGTGACTCTGTTGTTTAGGATTTAGGACAGCCAGGAAATGGAGCAGACCAAGGCAAGGAAACAAGTGAAAGGGAAAGAATCCAAGAGAGGGGGGAAGAGAGCGATAAAGAGAGAGAAGAAGAAAAAGAAGATGTATCTCTACTTTCTGGAAAAGAGGAAGAGAGCGAGAAATGAAAAAAATATATTGAGAACCCCATCACTGTGAGGGAATAGAAGAAAACAAAACAAAACAAAAAATATGCATTTGTTTCTACAGCCATTTATCTTCACACGCCATCTCAGACACTTCCAGTCAAACCTGATATTTAACACATAACTGAAAAGACACAGGGCTCAAAAGGGTTGACTGCGAACACGGCCCTCCTGACCCCTGACCTCTGCGACGACATTCGAAAACGGCATCCTTCTTCTCCTTGGGCCAACTGGACCTTTCATCTTGCAAATGCACGGAACCAGGAATGATACTTCCACAAGGGATTTTTATCCTATTGTTTTAGGGATGGGCTTTTTCCTCCCATTATTTTTGCTCATGTTTGGGGGTGTAATTTTTGGCAGCTGACTGCATTCAACTTTTGGGCTTCCCTTTTTTATTATTATTTCCTTGGTTGACGCTGAGATGAGAAGCTCTATAGAACATGAGATTGGTCTCCCCCATTTCCAGTTATTCCAGATTTGTGGTCTGTCTTAGCCAGCCTAGGTCCAGGCAAACTGCTAGAGACATCGGGATGTGGCTTAGCCCAGCTTCGGCATCAAACAGACTTCCTTTTCGGGAATACAAGGGAAGCCTACATCGTACGAATTCACTTTGCCAAAGCTCCGGAGAGGCCAGTGCTGAGAGTTTGAGTCTGCAAGCCTTTCAACGCCTTGCTGCTCCAAAGTCCTGGGAAGAACTCTAAGGCCACTGCGTCCAAACCACTAAGTTTTTAAGGCATGGGATTCTCCTTCTTTAAGACACAGGGGTAAGAATGACCTCTCCTGGTGGTGTTTCTTGTCGGGTAACTGTCTGTTGCGTCTAGACAGAAAGCAAGAAACAGGCATGACCAATTTGATTCTTCATTGTGTTGCGGGAGGGTGGAGTGTTTCCTCGAACGAAATCTCTGCTTGGAATGTCTGCCAACTCTTGAAATCAATGACATTTTCTTCTTTGGTTGCACTTTCTCACACAATTTCTTCCTGGCAGATCCCCAAGTGTTGGCGATTCCCATTCTCTTTCCCCCAAGGGGGCCAATATTGCTTATCTCTCAACTGTATATTTCTTGAACAAAGGACTGTACACTTGATTCCTCCCCTCTCCGTTATTTATGTCTTTCTTCTATTCTGTTCCATTTCCCTCGAAATCTTACTATTGTCCCTTGCATGTTGGAACCTCTGGCATCAAAGCTTCTTTCAGATGGAAATATATGGGCACCATGTCGGGGAAAGTGGAACTAAAGGTTACGGGAGATGCCCAGTTCCTGCTGAAAACCAGAGCGTTGCAAGAGATATGGCCAACAAGGTGCAGTTGTAATTTAATTAAGTAATTCCCCGTGTGTTTCGGTGCCTTCATCAGGAGCATTTCTGTGACACAGAATCGCATCTCCTTCTAACGCACCATATTAAGAGAGGTTATAATTCCAAACCTGTCAAGAGGAAGATAGTAATTCCCAAACACATTGGGAATTGCTGATTAAATTATAATTACAGAATGTCAGCCTTGCTTCTGGCACCTTGCCTGAGGTTGTTTTTGCTACTATGCCACCCTGTGTCAACGTGGAGGTCTCTGATCCAGTGATGCTGCAGTGAGGAAACCTGGAATGTGGTTGTGTTGTGCCATTTCTTTGTCTTATGCCACATGATTGGGGGCAAAAGGAAAGAGGAGACACAAGGTTGCTGGATGCTGCCATGACCTTGTGGCTCCTGTGAAGTGTTGTTTTCTCTGCAACATTTGTGCAATCTATTGTCAAAGGCTTTCATGGCCGGAACCACTGGTTTGTTGTGAGTGTTCCAAGCTGTATGGCTATGTTCCAGAAGCATTCTCTCCTGATGTTTCACCTGCATCCAGGTGTCCCCTGGGCAATGTCCTTGCAGGCAGCCAATTCTTTCACACCAGAAGCGACGTGCAGTTTCTCAAGTTGCTCCTGACATGACAAAAAAAAAACTGCATCTATGGCAGGCATCCTCAGAGTTTGTGATCTCACAACCTCTGAGGATGCCTGTCATAGATGCAGGTGAAATGTCAGGAGAGAATGCTTCTGGAACATGACCATGCAGCCCGGAAAACTCACAACAAACCAATTTGTGCAATCGCTTTGTTAAAACACACAATGGGATTTAAAAAAAAACCTTACAAGAAACAAAGCCTCCCTTAACTCCCTCTCTATTTCCAATATAAATTATGCAATATACAACAACACATGTGATTGTGCTCAATTTTTACCATTTTCTCAAGCAGCTAGATTTCTGCTTGATATATTTAAAAATGCAGAATGTAGGATATCATGATACAGGGCTCTGGTATGTATTTTCAAATGTAGAGTTTCTCTACAGTCCTGTACAGATTATATAATGCAGCAGTATGATACATTTGCATAACATGACTCTCAGAACTTTCTTGGACACTGGTTGGTTTCTTTTTCATATTGTGTCAGAAGCGACTTGAGAAACTGTAAGTCGCTTCTGGTGTGAGATAATTGGCCATCTGCAGAGACGTTGCCCAGGGGACACCCGTGGGAGGCTTTTCTTATGTCCCCTCATGGGATGCTGAAGCTGACAGATGGGAACTCACCCCATCTCAAGGATTTAAACTGCCAACCTTCAGGTCAGCAGCTCAGCCAGCACAATGGTTTAACCCAGTGGTTCTCAACCTGTGGGTCCCCAGATGTTTTGGCCTTCAACTCCCAGAAATCCTAACAGCTGGTCAACTAGCTGAGATTTCTGGGGGTTGTAGGCCAAATCACCTGCCAACCCACAGGTTGAGAATCACCGGATTAACCCATTGCACCACCATGGCTCCTGTTTATCTTGTTTATTTGTTTATTTTGAGGAGGATTCAAGGGATTAGAGCCAATTTCTAGCCATAACAATGTTGAAGGTTTGTGTGCAATGCCTACCTAACTCTCTAAAGCCAAAGTGGTGGCTGGGTAAGAACTTAAAGCATTATCTTGTCTTTCCCCTTCACTATGAGTAAAAAAAAATTAAAAATATATTTTTGAAAAATTATTCAGAAGAAGAGGGAAAATGTTGTTAATACACAAGGTGGCAGAACAGGGCTTTTTCTAGTGCAACATTCATGGGGTCTATTCACAACACTCAATTATTGTTTCTATCATTCTATTTTAACTACCATTGTTGTGTACTGTGGGTCCTTAGATTTTGTAGTTTGGGGAGGCACTGGAGCGCTCTAGCTGGGAATTATAAATGCTTCCCCCTAAATCGCTAATTCTATACTCGCCAAGAATTCACAGATGTAAACTAGACCCCATGATCCCATCAGAGTGTGGTCAAATTGGAAAAAGTTACTAAGTTACTAAGGAAGAATACAAAAGCTAGGAGGAGCTGCAACAGTTTGCTTTTGAACCTACTAAGAAATGCCAAATTTTCTCTTTTCCCCCCGTTGAGTTAACTGAATGTAAACTGTATTATCGAAGGCTTTCATGGCCAGAATCACTGGGTTGTTGTAGGTTTTTCGGGTTCTATGGTCATGTTCTAGAAGCATTCTCTCCTGACGTTTCACCTGCATYTGTGGCAGGCATCTTCAGAGGCATCCTCAGAGACCTCTCARCCTCTGAGGATGCCTGCCACAGATGCAGACAAAACGTCAGGAGAGAATGCTTCTAGAACATAGCCATACASCCTGAAAAACCTACAACAACCCTGAATGTAAACTGCTTTTGCAGTTTGAACGCAATTTCCACAATGGAAGAAATCTAAGAAAAATGTGACAAAGTGGGAGGACAGAAGGAARCTCTGGCATTTTAAATACAGATGAARAAGTGAGAAGGCACATGACCAACTGAGAGTGTCCCAGCCAAGTTGAGATATTATGTTGTCAAAGGCTTTCATGGYCAGAATCACTGGGTTGCTGTGAGTTTTCTGGGCTGTATGGCCATGTTCCAGAAGCATTCTCTCCTGACATTTYACYCACATCTATGGCAGGCATCCTCTGGGGCCACCTTGATTAGCATTTAATGGGCTTGAAGCTTCAAAGCCTGACTAGTTGCTGCCTGGGGGATTCCTTTGTTGGGAGGTGTTTGCTGGCCCTGATTGATTCTTGTCTGGAATTCTCCTGCTTTTTGAGAATGCCTGTCATAGATGTGAGTGAAATGTCAGGATATTTCTGGAATATAGCCATACAACCCAGATAACTCACAGCAACCAAGTTGGGATATTTGGAGTTTATGCAACTCCAGGATTCCATAAGACAAAACTATAGCCATTAAAGTGCAATAATTGTGCTATGGTTGTGCAGTGTGACTGGGCCCCTGGATATAACACAAGCAGCACCATCCAGCAAAAGCAAACTTTTGCCAACCTTTCTCTTCATTGCAACCTGAGGGGTCCTTGAATTCATATGGCCAGGTTAAGTTCGGTGATTTGCTTTTTCTTCCATCTTCACTAGGATCTTTCTTTAATCCGACCTTTTTCTATCCTAGCCTGTTATAAGTTTCACACTCACATTACAAACTCGATTGAAGCTAATTTGTGTATTTAGCATGTTCCTTCCCCAAAGAGTCTCCTGAATCTGTTTCTGGCCCCTTATTGGGCTTCAGAACCTGGGGATTTGAACCAGCAATAATGTTTGTGTATCCAACTAGACCTTAAATGGAATGTGTGTTCCCGATGATAAGTATATTCTTCCTCCTAAAACATGATTTCCTCAGAGGTATGTGCCTCGGCCTGTGTTTACCCTCTCATGATTAAATACATGACAAAGCCCACTCAATGCAAGATACATCATTGGGGATAATCAAGTGCTATGACAAACAGACGTATTTCACCAGGGAGCTCCTCTTTTAAAAACATGCTAAACATATAGATTAATTTAAACCCTCAGAGAACTCTTCTTACACAGCTGTTACTGCCTTCAGAATGAAGTTTTAATTTGTGTATGTATGGTCTTTGGTCAAATTGTTTTTAAAGATTTCCGTAGCCCTTCAGTAGTATCCAAGGAAAATATGTTCTCCAGTCGATACATCCAGAATGCATTCTTGAGTATTTTGATGAGATTGCCCCAGGTATCCAATGGTTCAGTATATCTGCTGAGTATAATGTGTTCCACCTCCACAAACCAATTAGTTTGGAACAACAGAAAGGGATAGGTATGTCTTTGCACAAACATATTACATAATCTTTTCCAGGACTTTTGGGCATAGTTAGGGTTGAGACCATTCCCTTTTCCAACTAAAATTGATTGGACCTGAAAGATTGAGTCTGGTCTAGTCAGTTTCACCACTCCATTACTTTAAAAAAAAATTAAGGTTCAGTCTTAACAAGCACTTACTAAGTACCTCTACTCACTGGATTCATAGGAACATACTTCTGAGCATCATATTGTACTGTGCCGAAGAGAGCTATAATGAAGACAGAGACGAACAAATGGAGTAGGCCTTTCACCCCGTCACTTCCTTCCTTTGTCATGTTTTGGCTAGTTAGGAAGAGAAAAGGGGGGCAACGTAACCCGTTCTGCCCCAGAAATAACTCTGCAAGAGTCCAGATTGGCTTTTTCCCTTTCCTATCATTAGAACTAATACTTTACATCTGTAACTGTTTCCCATCAGGGTTAAGAAGGGAACTTCCAGAGGAGTGATAGGGAAGGAAGGGAGAGCACACACCTTCCACACAAGTAGGAGATACTTGCTTTCGACAAATTAGGCATTGGCCGGGTCTGCCGGTGCTGACTTCCATAAGCAAGAGGTTAACAATGAGCCTGCTCCGGCGGAAGAAACCAAAATTATTGTAGTGTCTTCCAGAGCACTTTGCTGACTGCTTATACCTAGAACCAGAGAGTATTTTTTTGGTGTCAGGAGCGACTTCAGAAATTGCAAGTTGCTCCTGGTGTGAGAGAATTGGCCGTATGCAAGGACATTGCTCAGGGGACACCAGGGTAGGCTGCTCAGAAGTAAGAAATCAAAATTATTGTAGTGTCTTCCAGAGAACTTTGCTCTGAACTGCTTATCCTAGAACCAGATAGTAATTTTTTTCCGTGTCAGGAGTGACTTGAGAAACTGCAGGTCGCTTCTGGTGTGAGAGAATTGGCCGTCTGCAAGGACGTTGCCCAGGGGACACCCGGATAGGCTGCTCAGAAGTATGAAATCAAAATTATTGTAGTGTCTTCCAGAGAACTTTGCTCTGAACTGCTTTCCTAGAACCAAGATAGTATTTTTTTTGTATCAGGAGTGACTTGAGAAACTGCAAGTTGCTTCTGGTGTGAGAGAATTGGCCGTCTGCAAGGATGTTACCCAGGGGATGCCCGGATGTTTGATGTTTTACCATTCTTGTGGGAAGCTTCTGTCATGTCCCTTGCATGGGGAGCTGGAGCTGGCAGAGGGAGCTCACCCACTCTTCCCAGATTCAAACTGCCAACTAGTCAGCAGTCCTGCTGGCACAAAGGTTAACTCATTGCACCACCAGGGACACCACCAGAGAGTATTGGGACAGGGGATTTGGTACAACGTGTATACCTTCAGCATTTCACAAATAAAAACTAGACCACACATGGTCAAGCCAAATCGGTGGCAAGAGTTATTAATGCGGGAAAACAGAGAAGCTAGGAGAGCTGCAGCAGTTTGATTTTGCCTGTGACTACTGGGACGGATGAAATTTCCTTTCCACACTATTGACTGAGTGCTAGATACTTTTGAGATTTGAATTAAGTTTGTGGTAATTGACATAAGTTGGGAACAAAGTGGGACAGGAGAGGGAAACTTGGACATTTTAAGGGTGTTGGGAATCTGAACTGTTAGGCTAAAAATAACCCTCAGTTGGGGTGATTCCACCATAAATACAGCAGAGTGCTAAAAGCCAACTTCATAACCACCAGAAACTTACGTGTGGTAAAGCCAAGATAAGCTTCCTTTCAACAGGATGGCACAGGATTGCAGAATCACAACTTGGGGTTCAAAATATTTATTGAAGTAACAAGAAATCCATTCTAGATAGAAAAGGTATTGGAGCTTATTAAATCTCATCTTGTAAGAAGTAAATGGGGTAAAAAGTCAAAAATATCCATGCAGTTGCATTTTGCCTAGCAAGAGGCAAAATGCGTCCTCACTAGAAGGGAGAAAAGGCAGAGAGAACAACAATTGAGGATGACCACATGGCCACATCCAGAGCAATAAAAATACCTTTTAAAGAGGAAGTTACCTCATACCTCAGAGAGATTCCATTGCTACGTCTTCAAAGGGGGAGGAGATAGTGGCAAGCAAGAAGAGTAAAGACAAAGGCCCCTTCTGGGGTAAGCATGCAGAGGAATGGGGGGGGGGGGTGTCATGAATAACTTTTTCATTAACTTTAAAGCATAGGTTATTTTTATTGCCATTTCCAGTGTGAGAGGGTATATCAGAACTTTTACACAAAGAATAAGATTAGACAAACAGACATACAGATTTGATGCAACTACAATGGATTTACAATTACATGGCTAACAAACAAACAAACAAAGGGGAGTTACATTTTCACTGAGCATTTACACACATGTATGTGCATTCATGCTCGTGCATCCAAATATTACCAGATCTTTTTCTCCCTCCTTGGAGAAGCACCAGCTTAGGGCAGACCCTGCTTTCCTGCAGCCTGCCAACGCACAGTTCCAAAACTTCTATAACTTCAAAACTTCTCCTTCCCTAAGAATAATGCCAAGGACCAGATCTCCTTTTTCCAAACAGCAGAACCTGATTCGCTGCACAAAATCTAAAACTCCAAAAGCGCACTTCTTCCTCTTCCCTTGAGAAAGAAGCTCCAACGTGACTAGACTGCTCCCTTGCAAATCTGCCACTCTCCGAATACACCATCTCTCTCCTTCCCATGGAGCAGAACATGGCAGGTGAACCAGACTCCTCAGGTCTGTCACAATTTGAGCATTATTAGATTGTGTCTTTTATAGGAATATTCTGCTGATGTAGTCCCAAAGTTGTAAATTAATGATAGACGTCTTCCATCCTGGATCCATCTCAGCTTCCTGGCCAGATGTTGATTCTTCTTAA